CAATACTTCGTTCCTAGCGAGTCAAAGACCGAGACCGCCGGACTCCCTGTCGAAGGCCATCTATCCTACGAGCCGCAGTAGTGCCATCCGATACTCCAGTGATTCCAGCGCACCGAGTCAGGAACAGACGGCAGCACTGCAACTTCCGTTGGACAGGAGACTTCTAAGAAACCTCCAACCCTTGGGCACGCCACGGGATGAAGGTGTCCACGCGCAGTCATCCGGCTGGGTCAATCAAAGGAGAGTGTCATTGAATTTGGCTGCTGATTAAGCCAGGTAAAGGATCCTTCCCAAGCTTGACTCCTCTTCATTTAATTATAGTTTACTTCTTAACCGCCCATCTCTGATCAAACCGAATTCTAACCATTATCGCGATTTCCATGCTTTGCTCCGGTTAACCGGATAGAATAAGATTTCATTAACTCCCTTCGAACAGCTGACATCGAAATATCAGCATTGCGAGATAGATTAGAATCACGCGTAGTCCGCCATTCTAACAGCAATGAATTCCCATGTCACCACTTCGGGCGTTCAGTAACCTACCGCCGCTATAGCGTGCTATCGCGACGCCCAAAACGCCGCGACGCGGAAGTATATTAACCCTCAGAAAATTAGGTCAAGGCACCTCGGGTGCCCTTCCAGCTGATTGGAATGTAGACCTCACGGATAAATAAATGCAAACTATCCTAATACACTAGCCACATTGCCATTCGTTCGCACCCCTGTTTTAATCCTCAGTCCCCTAGATCGCACCAGAGGAATTGATCTAGCCGCTCGGATCAATCTCCTCACAAAATTAAAATATTCGTTACGCGCAAGATTCAGGTAATCTCTATCCGAATCACCCCGGCCTCGCATCCGCTCGGCCGCCCTGTAACAATGGTCTGAGAGTCGGGAAAAATGTTGTGAAACATTTCTCTGACAACGTGCTCTTACACAATTACGATGTTAATCTTCATTTGTGAAACAATATTATAAAACTGCAATCACTCGTATATAATCAATTATATTCTCCTAGATATCAAAGCCTTTTCCAATATGTTTGGTTAAAAACTGGATATGTCCATGAAAGGTTAGAGAGTTTCCAGAGTCCAGTCGAATTTGCCTTCAAAAAAACATCGGTTATGAAATGTGCAGTTTGCGGTTCAATACCAATAATACGATACTCTTGGGGTAGAAAGGTATTTTGTTTCAAACACTTTTTCGACGACCATCACTAATGTCATGAATATGAACCATGATATAAATTTACGTAAAAATTATCTTTATTACACTATATGTCTCGATACATTCACTCCCAATGTATATCTTTGCTTTTCAGAAATAAAATTCTTGGAGTATTTTTATAGATTCACGTTGTACAATGTATTGCGAGGTAATTTATGTAGGATAAGGTTTGTATTTGTGGATTGAATGATCATTTGTGTACGGACCGAAAGAAATTTCGGTGAAAACAATGTCTGTGATATAGATGCTTGAATAAAATGATTACGCCACGACCGGACAGAGATACGGTATTGCAGTACTGTATGTCATTGAAATATGCTTACCACGTTACATATTAGTTTTTGAAAAAAAAACTAAAAACATATGAACCCTTATTTTCCATAAAAATCATCGTCGTGAAATTTCTATTTCAGTCTAATGAATTGTCTTAAAAAATTTTTTTTTTCTTTTTCAAGGGTAGTTCACCCCTTTAGAGGGATGCTCTCGTATCAGACGGTACCGTTTATGGATCCTAACAACACGAAATATATTCGTACCGTGTTTCATGTGAATCCGTCTAGTGTTTATATAAAAAACACTGCTTGCCCTTGATTAACAATTATAGTGTCAAATAGTGGTTTTTCGGAAAGAACCCAAAAACACGTAAATTCTTATTCGAAGCAAGCATTGACGGTACGCAGTATTTATTTCGATCAGATCATTTGTCGCCGAAAAAAAAAATTATTGATAAGGGTAGTTTACTCCCGTCGAGGGGGTGCAACCATGTAAAATGGTATTGTTTCTGGATACTCCTTACACGAGCTATATTTGGCCAAGTTTCATTGAAATCCGTGGAGCGCTTCTATGAAAAAAAAAAAATCGATTCGTTTCATCAAACTTTGAGGGGTTGTTTAACCCCTTAGATATCAATCTTAACACGTAAAAAAAATACGTGTCCCTTAAATTTTCTAGTTCTACAACATATATAAAAATTATCGAAATCGGGGTGGGAGATTAAGGATTGTTTCCTTGTTAGTCTCTTTCACAATCCAAAAGTTCCATGGCTTTAGTTCGGTTCGTGAGTTCGACATCCGCGATCGACTCAAAACGTAGTCGCGAACTCCAAAACCATCGCAGCAGACATCTTTATAAGTATGTATGTATATTTTCCTTAATCTCCTCCTTTAGACAATCTGTTCCTTTTAATGAATCAAAATAATTTATAGTAAATTCAATTTTATTTCTTTCCTACTTATTAATACTAAGGTAGAATTTAACTAACATTAACACCATCTCTAATCGTACCTAAGCTTTACTGCCTGAATCCTTCCTTACTATCCCTTCGATATAGGAGGGTGCGGGGCTTGATCTAACTTCCCCTCTATATCTGAACCTTATTATTCCTAAACTACAAGAGGACGCGGGTCTTGGTCTAGCTTCCCCTCTATATCAGATTGTTCCTAAACCTAAAGAAAAGGCGAGGAGTACGTGGCGATCTTATTAACCAATTTTTGCATGGCGACTCGTTCCCAATTACTAAAAACAACGACAGCGCCCGGGCGTACGTATCAAGGAAGTTCTAATTATTCCAAACTAAGTTGTAACACTTTAACGTAGTTCAAATAAATAAATAAATAAATAAATATCTCATCACCAAACTCTTTCACTTAATTCCACCCACCCAGACGTATCATTACCCCGCCCTCTCCAAACCTTGGCGCGTGTGCTCTGAGCTAGGCTGGATAATACCGATGAATTCCGACGTTTCCTAGGAGCCTATTGCTATAGGGCAAAGTGTCCGTGGCGGAAACTACCGCAACTTTGAAAAATTGGAGAGTTACTCCACCATTCACCAGCTAGCACCACCGTCGCAGATTATATTTATTTGTCTCGCACTCACAGGATCAGTATGCCAACTCCCGTGGCCACACCTCCTGTACCTGTCATTCTCTTGCCCTTGGGTTGGAGTAGTAATGCGCTCTCCTTTCCTCCATCAAAGAAAACTGGAGGCCACGCCTTACTGTCCATCGCACTTATGCTTATACGATATGAATGGTTTGAGCTACCCGCGATCTCTCTCGCAGCGTACTACCTGAGGTCCTTCCGTCCGTCATTGTTTCTCTTACAGCGGTTGAATGGCAAACAGGATTGGGGTAGTAGCGTGCTCTCTTTTCTTTTTTCGGCTCACATGGGGGACTACCACCCACTATCTATTGTGCTCACGTTCGTACAACATCGCGTTGGAATACCTATACTCTTCCTTGTGTGCGTACTACGCGGGCTCGCTCCTATTGTAATTCTTTCACCTGCATCGGTTAAATGCCCAGACAGCACAAATGCATAGCACAAAGGTTCATAGAATATTCTTTGAAAATATTTCAATATTAATAGGATATAGATTTATGTGCTATGTATATTTTTTGAACATAGGATGAATGTAGTTTTGGTCAGTTTTTTATATTCGAAATATATTGAACGAAATATTGAATGAACATAGAATTGATACTTCTTACACATAAGAAGTAGTATGTCATATACATATCTGAATATTTTTTGACACACAAATAAACATATACAAGATTCATATTTCAGAATTTTATTTTTATAATTAGTGTCAACATTTGGTGAGATAAAATATTGAAACATGGAAACATAAACATCTACTTTTACAAAAAAATGAAATACTTACCCGGGGAATATAAATTTAAGGTATTGGTGCACGTATGTGCACGAATCTGAGAATCTGTTTTATATTGAAAAAAAAATTCTTCGTAATTATCGTCGATAGCTATTAGATATTAATAAAATATAATGATCCTGCAATTTTAAGTACATTTTCTAGAAGTCCCGTGAACTTCCCCCGTCTTTTCTTGCGTTATTTCTACCGCTGGTATAAGTTTGTCTGAAATAAGTCTGCGCGATTTCGCTCAAAAGTGCTCGGTTCTTATCTCAAGACCCGATATATTTGTATAATGGTTTTACCTAGTCCATACCTAATTCTCTACTCAGTTAGTTAGGTACCGTTCACCACTTTCCTTGAGCCGAAGGCTCGTTCCCACCCTGCGGTCTTTTAAACCGGCCGCCTTCTCACCTCCTTCACCGATATTTCAGTCAAACTAATTTTTGTGCGCAGTAACGCGGCCAGGCGATGCATGTGAACTATTTTGGATATCCCGAATTGAACCAAGCAATGGACTTCTAGGAGACGTCGGAATTCATCGCTAATACTAGGCTCGAACGATCTCGCCGCCTCGGCGACCGTCACGATCGATTAGCTTTCGAGTCATGGGCAAAATTTTCAATTCGTGTTCGATTTTCGGACGGGTCGCATTTCTTATAACATTTAGAGTCGAGTGTAGATTTGGATAGGCGTGTAAGTAATTACTCTCGAGTCGGATAATTCGCAGTATTTATCGCGTTTTGTTAGACTTTCTTTTTGGTATTTCGCGAGCGGCTCGAGGCACCGGACGAAGAAACCACGAAACGGCCGGCGGTCCGGACGTCATACACTCAAAAGAAACATTTTTTTTTAACCTTGTACCATTTCAAACAATGTAACAAAATAGTGGACAAATTATTTGTGGTTATTTCCACCTTACAAGGACTATACGCCAATTTTTACTATTGCATTCGTAATCACCGGGCTGAAATATGTAGTCATACGAAGCTTAAATATAATAGACGGTGTGCGCTTTTCGGAATATCACCCAATATTTTGATCTTATACTATTTTTTAACAGAAGAATATTTCTTAGCTAATCATTCGAATTTTTATTCTACGTATAATAATAACATTACATGAGAATTAGAAAATCAAATGAAAAAACCTTGCATACCCGGAAGAAGTAGTTGAGGCAGAAAGTATCAAGGTATCCTCGGGTATTGATGTCTAATATCCGGAAGAAGTAATGTAAACTTTGCGGTTCCTGTCGATTTTCCAGAGCCAAGACGAAGTCCAAATATGTCTTGTAGTCCATCTCTCCTTCGTATGTTAAGCACTCTTGAAACACCCTTTCAAGGAATACATCTGTCAAAGTACCTGTTCCGTACCTTAGATAAACATGCAAAAAATTTCCATTAATATGTAAAGTTACGAAATAGGACATCATTTTATAATCACTAACTGCAAGTCACTACTTAATAAGGAAGGTATCCCAAGTCGATCTCTCCGATTTGATTTCATTTATAATATGTTATAGTAGACTAAAAACTTAGTAACACGTATTTTTTTTTTATTTGCCATTAAACACTTTAAGGATGTGAAACGACCATCCAAAGTAACGCATGTCATGGGGTGATTTGGCAGTTTCACCCACAAGAACATGACATTTTTTAACCAATTCAACTGGAAAAGCTTTCGCATAACGAGAGATGATAAATATAATTTTCTCCAATAAAAAAAAAATTAAGGGGTGCGTCGTCCATAAATATGATTACGTTTATGCAAAAAATGATCAAATTCGTCTAAAAATCTGGAAAAAAATATATTGTGTATGAACACGAAGGAAATACGTGTCTTTGGATTTTCCCGAAAAAAAAATATTGGCCGTAGTAACTACCCCTAAATGCTTCGAATTGTTAACGTTTTTTTTTATTTTCCCACGGTATCATCAAATGCTTGTAACGAGCCGTGTGCCTCGGACTAGGGCGCCCGAGGCCGAGCCATACGACTCGCACAGCACTACGGCCGGGCACCGCAGCCCGGCGACCGGTTCCCGCAAGCGCAACAACCCACGGCCAGCGCTCTCTCGCAAGCGCGCGAGCCTCCCGGGCACTATAAGAGGCCCGGGAAAATAGAGCAAGTCAGAGTCGTAGGAAGGGAGGAAACCCGCCTAAACTTTCAAATCCGATTCGCAGGACAAGACCTCGAATCACTATAGGCGCGAATTCGCATCTCCGAAGATAAATCCGACAAGAGGCGAGACGAGAGTTCGAACAATAGGGTTAGAATTATTACCGCAGCTAACATATAATTCATATTGTAAACAATTAGCATTAAGTACGATCCCGTTTGTATCCGGTTTGCTCCCAATGTTTTACTTTCAGACCTGAAGCAACTGACGCCGACCGGCAACTGATGTACAACCAATAAACTTTATTATTGTTACCAAAACCTGAGAATATCTTACTCCACCCAGGCATTACCCCTCGGATACTCAAACGCTCCGAGCGGGCCACTGTCGCGGGAAGAGACCCGAACGTGGACCGCGGCGCGCGAGGTTGCCATCTAACTCGCGCCCTCGAGTTCTATCGTTACATGCTTACAAAATAAATCATCGGGCACAAAGGTAAAGTACCTTTTTGAATGAATTTTAATACATTTTATTTGTATTATTATATCGTTATGAAAATTATAAACAAAATTTTATTAATTTTCGAATGTTGAACAATGACGATAGTCGTCCAAAAAGTGTTTAAAGCACAAAGATTTTTTACACCACGAACATCGAATAACAGCAATGTTTGAGCAGCCTTCGATTTCGCAATGCGTCTTGCAAAAATCTCCGAAAGTGAAATCAAGTGGATTGTCGAATTCTTTTGGTTTTTCGTCAATGTATCCAGATTTATACTAAGAGCATTTAAAAAAATTAATGAATCGCGGAGATGATAATTGATTATGGATCAGAGATTGCAGCTTAATAATGTTATTTCTTAAATGTAGATTAATATCGTGATTCATTAGGATGACGCTATCTGAAAAGTGCCATACTAAGTTTCTCCAAATTCTGAAACCGTATACATCCAGAGGCTGGATTTTTTCGGCCGTCCCTGTTGGTATTATTTTCAGAATATTATTCTTGTTTCGAGGTGTACTTTCTGCTACTACTCTAGGACAATGACCACTCCATGAATCAATTAACCCTTTCGTTACGGCACTCCGCTCCACCGGTATAACGCCACTAAACGAGACACCGCGCCGAAAAGTGTGAATATTGGACGTCGGTAGTCTTCGGTGTCCACACTTACGGCTTTCAACGTCACCTTGGCATTCGCTTGTGTGTATACTTTTTTAAGAGTTACATAACAACTGTTTCTTCGCATTATATGAGAAATATAATGATCTTTTTTGTCGACTAGAGTCGGCGCTCGTACACACAGGTCGTCGCGTGGATGCCGACTATAGTCGGCGCTCGTACACACAGGTTGTTGCGTGGATGCCGACTATAGTCAGCGCCCGTAACGAAAAGGTTAATAACACGCTGCTTTGTCCTACATTTGGAAAATATATTTCCGCCAACCAAGTTTTAAAGTAATCTGAAGTAAATAAAAAGAAATGAATGCGGCTTAAGGTATATTTTTGTGAACAAGAATGTTAAATAATAATAATGTTATATTTATCCCTGAAGTAAGTTTTCCAGATTTTGATAACGCTATATAAATATTAACAGGTCTGAATAAATTTTGTTCTACAACCGGCCCGAACTTGCCACTTTGCTTATTTAAGACCAAAAAGAGAGGTGATAAGAGTTTTCCTTCGGCTGATATCAGCGGTTGTATTGTGTAACTATGGGCAGTACATGTAACTGAATGGATTAGGCACTGTACTTGTTTCTCTCCTTCGACAGCCAAAGTTCTTCCTAAATGCATCTCTAGCTGGAATCCGCTTTGAACGGATTTGTACACTCCGTAAGTGGGAAAAACGGGTTTTAGTTGGTAGAAGACGGGGGCGGGGAGGGAGTAGGAAGGGTCTACCCTCCCTCTGAAGACAAGTATAGGACCCAAACCATAGGGGAATAGCTAGCAGCGGTTGGAGGCCTGCGGCAACTGTGCGAGGCCGACAAGGACCCCCGTTGTTTCCTGTGGGTCCTGGTAGAAGGCAAGCCGATACCAGCCCTAGTGGACTCAGGAGCGACCAAATCCTATATAGGGCCTAGGCTTGTCGAGGTTTTTAGGGGAGCTATCCGCCCCGTACTGAGAAAGATGCGGGTAGCTAATGGAAATTTGGCCGAGAGCGAAGGCGAAGCCGCTCTCGAATTGAAAATAGGGGGAACGAGGAAAACGTTAAGTTTCACTATTCTGAGAACACTCTGTCAAGAGTGCATATTGGGCATGGATTTCTTAATGGCATTTCAGATTCGGATGGATTATAGGAGCGGGAAATGGGCAACGCCAGACGGAGAATGGCACCCATTGTGGGAAGGACAGACCTTTCCCCCCCGCATTTCCACTACACCCTGCATGCGCAGGGATATCCATTGCCACGAATGAGCAGCGGCAATATTTGGATCGGTTTCTTGACGTTATCCTTATTCCTTGTCGTTATCGCCAGCCATGCGCTTACTCCGGCGGAGAGAAAGTACACGGTGACGGAGAAGGAATGTTTGGCGGTACTGTGGGCCGCAAAGAAAATGCGACTTTACATAGAAGATACTAAATTTAAGGTAGTCACGGACCACAACAGTTTACGATGGTTAGGTAATCTGAAGGATTCCACTGGAAGGCTAGCGCGCTGGGCGTTGGCCACGCAAGGATACGATATGGAAATCGTGCACCGGAAGGGCTCTCTCAATGTGGTTCCAGATGCTCTATCCCGTCAGTTCGAAGACGAACTGACGTACCTAGAGGCATTAGGGGATACCACCGACGCGTGGTACGTCGCCCGCAAGGATAATGTGAGGGAGATGTCTCGCAAATATCCCTCCTGGAAGGTAGAAGAGGGCAAGTTATACTGCCAGCGGGAGGATCCGTTGATTGACCCCGCCATGACTAACCTGAACGGGTGGAAGTTGGTTCTACCCAAGGAACTCAGGAACAGGGCCTTGGCTGATGCTCACAACCCTCCCCAAGCCGGCTACTTAGGCGTCGAGAAGACATATCACCGGCTGGCGATGGATTTTTATTGGCCAGGGATATATCGCAATGCAGTCTGGTTTGTGCGGGGCTGCCAGGAATGTCAGCGGCAAAAAGTGATGCAACGGGGGCCAGCCGGCCTGATGAGGGAACGTCATGTGGAGGGATCTTGGTCGGTCGTGGCGGCTGACATTATGGGCCCGTTTCGTCCAAGCCGGGCCCAGAGGAGGTACCTACTAGTGATGCAGGACCTCTTCACTAAATATGTCGAGGTGGTGGCCCTGAGAAGGGCAACCGTCAAAACCATTATGGATGCCTTTGAGACGACAGTGGTCAACCGCTGGAGTTGCCCACAATTCCAGCTTACGGACAACGGGACGGAGTTCGCCAACCGGGAAGTGACGGAGCGACTGGAGTTTCTGGGCATCACGCATATTATGACTCCACTGTACCATGCGCAGGCAAATCTGCCGGCAATGTGCGGTTCGCCAGCTCCACAGCGGGCGAACCGCACATTGAAAACTATGATTTCCACATTTGTTGGAAAAGACCACCGAGATTGGGATGTGCACCTGCCCGAGTTGGCATTTGCTATGAAACGGACGTCCTGTCTAGGTGAGGGGTATTGTAATGCGGTGGATCGGTAGCTCCCCCACATTAAAGGGAAATCGTGTCCTCGAAGAGGAAGGAGTAGCTACCGACCCGTATATACCGTTAGAGCAAATAAGTTGCGCGTAAGCGTCACTAGCGAACGCCCGAACGTTTATTAAGGGATATAGTAGGGGATAACTATGGGAAAGAAGGGTTTTGTATGGGATTGGGATCGACTCCAGGCGATTCGAACAGAGAAGATGTTCGGAAGAATAAGGCTACGGCCTTAAAGGGCTGTACGCCTTCGGGTTCGCCCATGCGGCTCTGAAGTAGTATCAGAATTTTAGGCCGCTCATGCAGTCCTGTCGCACGCGGCGAGGCACAGGTCGCCGTCGTCGCGCTGCCCTGGGGACGCGGGAGGATTGGTCGGCCGACGCGGCGCCGCCGGGCCGGAGCTAATCACAGCTCCGCTCGCGAGGCCGCCCGGCCAATCCGCGCCCCGGAGACTGCCGAAAAAGGACCCGGCACCGCGTGCGTGCCGAGACCTGCGGTCATTCCGAGGATTGCCGTAGCCGAGTCAAGAGTGCGCACCGCCAATTTGAGACAAAAAAAAAGAAAGTGACCGACGAGTCCCAAAGAAGCCACCAAAGCTTTCAAAAAGAAGTCACCGAACATCCTCCCGCTCCCAAGTAAGTCTTAGGGGACGATCCGCGACATTCTTTGAGGAAGATCCGCGCAAACTTATAGGGGAAAATCCGCCGCATAATAGAGAGAAAGATCCATGACTTCGTAGAGCAAAGATTCGCGAGTGAAGTTTAGGGGGAATTGCGAATAGCGAAACTCGCGAGGGCGTTCGCGAGTGGCGGCCGCGACGTATAATAAGTAGCCGCGTTACGGCCGGGAACCCACGAAGTTCGCGCAAAAATTGTTGAAGTAGAATCTAGAATTTAGGGCCGCCGACGGGCGGCTGGTACCTAACCAGTGTGATACGAAATTAGGATATTAAAGAGTTTTACATTAAACAACAAAAATCGAAATTGAGCGCCCTTGATTGTGAAGAAAACCACATCGCAACATATTGAATTCCAAAATTTGCTATATCGTGTTTAACATGAGCCACAAATTCATCTGCCTTCACTTTTAACCGTTCAGCATCTTCTGAAGTTTTTCTAGTGACACATTTGTTGATCTTCCTAGATACGATTCTGTGTGCGTGCGTAAATCGGGTTAGCCATTTTTTTGAAGCTGAAAATCGGAAATCTTCATGGGCTATTTCTTTCTGGGCTTGTAAGGCCCACTTGCGTAAATCTTTATCATGAATGATGAAACCGGCGTCGATAGCTGCTTTAAAATTATTCAACGTAAAGTCGCAAATTAACGTTAACGCATTATAATTATCTGGAATCGACCGTTCATCCCCCATAACCGTGGCGGTGTAGACCTTCACGTCACAGGTAATGTCCTGTAAAACAAAAACCAGGAGGACTTAATCGCCAAATTTTTAACATGTTACGGTTTAAATTTCACAAGACCTTAACTGCGACGTGAGGGCGTACGCCGGTGCGGTTATGGGGGATGAACGGTCGGTTCCGGATAATTAATTTTTTTCTCCGTTTGCACGATCATTTATTATCATTTTCCGGGGAGTATATTAAAAATTTGGTGATTAAGACTGCATGGTTTGTGTGGTACGTTTGATGGTCGGTGGAATGTATCGTTTCTGTATAGGGGTACGTTTCTTAGCGAAGGGGGGGGTTGAATCAAGAACCACCGTTGGTTTTTTTGTTTCATGTACCTTAGAATTGCAAATTAAATGTTGTGAACTCAAGAAATTTCATTTTTTTTTCAATCGTTGAAGGAACGTTGCATTCTTCAAGTAGCTTATTCCGGCAGTGAGGCATGAAAATGACTTAAGTCCCCGATGGTGGGGTTTGGAAAGAATCTTCCATTGGAGGAAAGAATTAAAACCATGTTTTAGGGAAAGGAGTAAGGTTAGGAAAAAATCTCTTATTTGAGGAAGGAGTTAAAGAATATGTTCTAGGGAGAGGAGTAAGATTAGGAAAAACCTCCTGTTGGAGGAACGGGTTGAAGAATATGTTTTTAGGAAAAGTGGTTCGGAGCGAAGAATGTGGGAGAAGTGTCCTCGGGAGACGGAAGTTAATGTTTACTTTATTGGGAATAGATTGTTAATGTCATCGTTCTGCCGGGACTCACGAGGTCACCCGTGCAGGGGTGGTATCCGTCGTTGCCGGGTCCCCTTTTCTTAAATATTTTGAATATTACGGGGAGCAGCTAGGCTCGAGGTCTTCGAGATCTCTTTCGACTTATCTACTATTTACGTAGCGTGGCGACAGCCTGTCATGAGAACTAAAATGGGGGGTCCTCGATTGTTTGGATTGAAAAGAACGAATTTTAGACTCGATGAGTCTATTACTTTGAAGAAGAAAAATCTTGGACCTCCCGAGCTAGTTCGATACGCGGGCCGATGCACGCGCAGGGAACGTTACGTGCGACATAACACTGCCAAATCGCCCCGTGACATGCGTTACTTTGGATGGTTGTCTCACCGCCTTAAAGTGTTTAATGGCAGATACAAAAAAAATACGTGTCGCTTAGTTTTTAGTATACTATAACATTATAAAAGAAATCAAATCGAAGAGATCGACCTGGAATACCTTCCTTGTAAGTTGTTACGTAGGCGCCTTCCGTACCCTAACGTAGGGAAAACCCCTATTTTCCAATCACCAGAGCTAGTCATGGAAATCCGAACACGGAAACGCGATTAGGAAACTCTTGTGAAAGGATCCAACGAGTTCATCGGCCAAACGGCTCCAAAAGGCTTCGACCGACCCGGGGAGAACAACCTGATGACTCCGCAACGAATCAGCACGACTCAGAAACGCCACCCTCACCTGGACTCTAGGAAACCCCCACCAATTGGAACATCCTGCCAATAAAGCCAGCAGTCCGATCAAGACATCATGTCTTTAGTCAATTTGTCATAAGTCAGTGTCAGTTCTTACGCTACACGTCAGTCAAGTATCATCGAAACTTCCAGTGGAGCTCCTGGTCCCCGGTACTCCGTTCCTAGCGAGTCACAGACCGAGACCGCCGGACTCCCTGCCAAGGACCACTATCCTGCGAGCTGTCCAACCACCGAGTCAGGACCAGACGGCGGCACTGCGACTTCCGTTGGACGGGAGGCTTCTAGGAGACCTCCAACCCTAGGGCACGTCACGGGACGAAGGTGTTCACGCACAGTCATCCGGCTGGGTCAATCAAAAGAGACTGTCACCGAATCCGGCCGCTGATCAAGCCAGGTAGAGGATCGTTCGCAAGCTCGACTCATCCTCATTTCGTTTTAAATTATTTCTTAACCCCTCATTCCCAATCAAATTCTAACCATTATCGCGATTTCCATGCCTTGCTCCGGTCAACCGAATAGATTAAGAATCCATCAACTTCCGTTAAACAGCTGAGCTCGAAATCTCAGCATCGCGAGACAGAATCACGCGTAGACCGCCATTAGAACAATAAGAAATTGCCGCATCAGCACTCCGGCATCCAGTAACCTGCCGCCGCTAAAGTGCGCTATCGCGACACCTGAACCACCGCGACGCGGAAGCATAGTAACCCAGAGAAAATTAGGTCAAGGCACCTCGGGTGCCCTTCCAGCTGATTGTAGTTCAGACCTAACGGACGAATAAACGCAAACTGTCACTACACTAGCCACATTGCCATTCGTTCGCACCCCTTTTTATTCCTTACTCCCCTAGATCACTCTAGAGGAATTGATCTAGCCGCTCGGATCAATCTCCTCACAAACTTAAAATAATTGTTACGCGCAAGATTTGGGTAATCTCCATCTGAATTACCCCGGCCTCGCATCCGCTCGGCCGCCCCGTAACAAAGTAATAACTTCAGCTGATGAGACTCAGTCTCATGACTCTCCCATTTCAGAAGTACAAAGTTTTTCGTTTCATATTTCTTTTTCCTTGGGCAAAAAATTTGTTTTAAAAGTAAGATACTTACCCAGATAATTCACCTTTGTTTAACATGCCATTGTGATCACGGTCTAGATTAAGGTACTGGCCATAAACTTTTAGTGCTGATGGTGCAGAAAACCAGTTTGCTTCTTGTAAATCTTTAGGCAAATCCTCATCACGTAGTTCCAAAAGATCGTCAAGAAAACTACATGCCAAAATATCTTGAATACGAACTCTACCGGTTCGCAAAGGATCTAAGAAGAATAAAAACTTTCTTACTGCGGTACAAACATAAAATGAATGGAACGATTTCTCAAGGCCTTCGAGTTGTGGTAATGTCGGAATCAGTTCCAGAATGTAGTTTTCCAAGTCCTGAAAAAAAAAATAAAAAAATAATTTTAGAGGATATCATAACATGGCTCATTATGAATTAAGGACATGCACCACTGCCGTCATTTGATAGTACATATCGTGGACGGATATCATTATACCAAAGAGTAGATGATGAAAACTACGAGTACACTTTATTATTTACCGATTAAAGGAGAATTATTTTCTCTAAAGCAACTGACAAGGAAATATTTCCGCGTGTCCACCACCGACTTTGTTCGTTCTCACATAAGTTGAATAAGCGTAAAAAACTAATACACACATATTTTTTCTTATCAGCAAACGTCCATATTTAAGGAGTCAGAACACCCCTCAGAGTTTTGCAAAAATTCGATTTGAATGTATTGGTTTGCCAGGAAAGTTCGTTCCGATTTTTAAATCCTAATGCTGCATCTCAACAATTAGCACGAACTTTCGTACAACCCAACAGATTCTGATAGAAGCCTTCGAGGAATTTCAACGTATACTGAACTCCGTCGATGGTTTCCTCCTGTCCGCTCTGTTCTCTCCAGCCGCGCAGCATACTAGCGGCCGGAGCAGCGCGGAATTTGAATCGCTTGAGGGGCAGAATGGATTTCCTAAAGAAAATAAATATTTATAAACAAAAACAATTAATAAAAATTATTTAGGTATTATTGTGCAGTGTCCCTGACCCACCTAACGTAGTTTTTGTTAAATGATAATTTACAGCATTTTTTAAATAATATAATAAAACATGTTTTATTAAATGTTAACAAGTTTCTTAGCGATTCAATTGTTCCATTCACTGAACCGAAGTTAGAATATTATCTTAGCTTAAAAAAATAGTTTCTAAATATATATTGCGACGTGATTTCCGTCCCAAAGCTCGACGCCCGAACTCTATCACTCGCGGAATGGGCGGCAGTCGCCACCGGGCGACGCTAAATCACTGGAATCTACTTCGCCAATCTACACTCGCGGTTCGCACTATTCGGGGTCGCTGGTTCCCGGTCTAAAAAACGCTACTTATTATACGTCGCGATCGCGTCCTCCTCGCTGCTACCGGTCACTGAATTTACATTTACCAAAAATGGCGCGGCCCTATAAGACAGAGACCGTACGCCTCATTACAATCAACAAAAAATGTTCAAGGCCGTATGGCCAATACCTTAAATTTCAACGGAGGCTCGTGTCTCCTCTCGATCTCTCTCTTTCTCTCACTCTCACTCTCACTCTCACTCTCAAAATCTCTATGCTTCTCAAACTTCGGCCGGCACGTCCTCACTCGTCAGTGGTCCAGACACGAAGAAGGAGCTAGGCTCCCTTTATTTTTTATTACCCGGCAACACGTGCGAGCCGGGCACGCGACGCCGGCCACCTCCCCCACCCGATGACCCATCTGATTGGCCGGTACATTCCAAAGCTTCAGCCATTGGCCCGGGGCACGCACCTCGGATCGCTCATAAGAGCCGGATCTAGGCCATCCGAGGATCAGTGGCAAATGCGGCGTAATTACCCGTGATTGGCCGGACCCCCCTTACGGGGTCCTTCCTGGCCGGTTACGCCGTGCTTCGGGCCGACGCTGCATCCCGCGCGCGCGGCGCCCGTCCCTCCTCATCGGCCGCTCGCCGGTCCCCGGCCAGGTAACTTTTGTTCCTAAAATTCTCTCAAGACTTTAATTATTATTAATCTTGCCCTATTGGCTTTTCCCCCAATATCTCTTAGGTTCGACACTGGAGGGGTGTCCATCGAACAGAGGAGAAAAGAAAAGAGAGTTCCCGATATCAATTTCAACCTATCTCCCGTAGCCCACCTGGTCTTACGTAGCATTAAAAGGACATGTGGGATTTTTTCTTGAGTATTGACCGGTAGCATCGAACTCTAAGAGGTAATCGGAGGACCTCCTCCGTCTAATATATTCTAAATATAGGGTGCGGGGGACCAAGCCCAACCTCCGATGGACTTGATTCCCCGTAACGTGAGGGGGCATCATGCACCCACCACGATACAATATACAGTGTAATACCGTAGGAAAATTTACGATGCATCAACTATTGGACATAGAAACGAAATCGTGATTTCATGTCTCTTATATATTTACGTTCTACACCATTCTTCGTATTCGTCGAATAAATGGACACCTGTAAATCATTAAATGAACATATAAATGAGCACCCGTAAACATAAGAAAGTCATTTCTTATCCGAGGTTTTTATAAACGCAAATCGGAGTAACTCTTACAAGTTGATTTCATTCGAAATAGGTATCCAAAACGTAAAACCCCATTTCCATTTCGTATTTGAAATAAGAACAATAAACTATTATGGATTTCCAATTTTAAATAGATTTTGAATCTATTTCCGTTTGAAATTAAACACTTCCAGAGAAATGAGAATATCAGAAAAGAATCGATCAGAATAATACTTGTTCTATCAACTGAATCAACTCTCGAAAAAGTTAAACATCACGTGTAACTCGAAATAGCCACATTGGCAAAAACAGATGAAATTAAATTGTTTACTTGCATTTTAAATACAAATACAAGTCATAAAATTACGTGTCCGAAAAAGGCATGGACAACGCAGGGTTAACATTACGACTAGATGGCACAGTTAATTCGAGACGACATTTTTTGTGGAGGAATTGATCCTCCATTACCTCTGTTAATTACTTGATCGCAGTCGCTGCAAAATGACAATCCGCTTTGGGAGCCGCAGAAGGAAGGGGCGATAAGGCCCGAGGGTGAACGACGGAAAGTGAGAACGCCGTCGGGAGGCATAAGATCCGCGAGAGAGCAACGGAGAACGCCGCTCCGGATGGGACGAGACCGCAGCCCGGGGTAGAGAGAGAGAGTCTTACTCGCCGGCGTGGAGACATCCATGCTAATCCGATTATCGGGTGCCGATACTGAGACCCTCACAACAGGGAGTGGAAGGCCTGAGACAGGAGTCTTGAGAGTGGTAGTGGAAGCCAGGGGCCTATGCCACCCGTAGGAGCAAACGAGAACGCCACACCCCTTGAGCCCCTAGTCGGCGGCCGAGTCGTGCCGGCCACGCCACGCGAAAGTGTTATCTGGTCAGGACTCGAAGCCCGGACGCATAAATCTGTCTCTGTTCTATGAGACGGATAGTACATCAAATATCTCACTCGGACACACGACCTCTAGGGCGAATATAGAGAGACACAAGTATGCAGTCCCCTTTCCGCACCGAGCCTCCGTCCTCGTGCTACCGCCGAGGCTGAGTGTCGACGGACTCGAACGTTTTCCGAATGACTCACCCCCCTCCTCCCCTTTACGCTCCATGTGTAACGTTTGTCAGAGAATTCATATATGGGCCAGCTCGTCTAATCTATTTGGACTAATTTTACTTGGGGTTCTGGGTTAGGATCGGCAAGTTGAAAAGCTGCCAGTCGAACTATATGACCGACTGACGATTGGATTCCGAGTAGGCCAATTCGATATGGGCCAAACGAATTAGGAGAAATTGGACCACTAATGTGGAAAAAGAAAATAACAAGCGGTTTGAATTTCTTAATAAAGCATTTATTACAAATAGAATAAAACAATAACGATATAATAGATAAGGTTTAGAAGAAAGATATTAGTGTTATTAAGGAAAAAATCGTATATAGTTAATTAAATTACAAGTATACAAGCTTAATTAGGGAAACAAGATGTAGGCCTACCTGGATTTAATATAATCCACCAATAGAAGAAACTGATCTTTTTGAATCGACACTTGACTTTGAGAATGGAATTGGATGATGCTGCGGACGTATTCGCATGGACTCGTCTGAACTGAACTGGAACTGAAACTGAACTGAATTCGCGCTCTTGAGACATGAGCCCTTTTAAAGGGGTTCGTCTTCCTTTCAGTGACCTAATCGATGGAGTGAGATTTCAAGACGTCTAAACATCGATATCTTTAGTTTGATAATCGATCGGTTTGTCATGCTGTCTAAATTGATATCAGTTCGCCGTCTTCCGATTTCCCTTTACAGTTTATAAGATCTTAGCCTAAATACGCGAGACGCTCGTGATTCAGCTCCAACGAGTGATAATAAAACTCATTAGTACTTAAAGCTAGAGATAATCTATCGGGTGGGTTATATGGGACGTAACACCCCGTTCCTTCCGGGACGTCGTTCTCCCTTGCTCTCTCGCGGGTCTTATGTCTCTCAANAAAAATTCTGTAAATTATCATTTAACAAAAACTACGTTAGGTGGGTCAGGGACACTCCACAATAATACTTAAATAATTTTTATTAATTGTTTTTGTTTATAAATATTTATTTTCTTTAGGAAATCCATTCTGCTCCTCAGGCGAATCAAATTCCACGCTGCTCTCGCCGCTTGTACGCTGCGCGGCCGGAGAGGGCAGAGCGGACAGGAGGAAACCATCGACGGAGTTCAGTGTACGTAGGTATCAAGAGACTCAACTATCGTTGTCAAGTATTGTACAGGAAACATGTTGTACGAGAGAGCTCGACCGATGTTTCTTTACCCCTAACGACTCACAGTCCATACGGTTCACATAAGCAGTCTATAAGGCGATTCTTCGGCTCGGCTATTAGACCTGCAATATCTAATTCATAAATGCTTCGAAACTCATGTATTATCAGTGTTTCTTAATCAGGATATTCTATGAAGTACATTCATCTTAAATTCAAGTGATCTACATTTTTTTTCGCAGAGATATTCCATAATATATGCAAGTCTCCAAGTACGCTGAGATATTATTTGAGATTCAGTATCGCTGTTTTTCGCACATGCACCTCCAAGTTTTCTCGCTAGATGGCGTCTTCTTTCTTTAATTATTCTCCCTTTCGCTTTCTCTTCTTCTCTCACGCTCATTCACCCTTTTTCACACTCAGTCACCTCCTCTCATCCATTCACGCCCACTCACATCCTCCCCCTTCTACCATCTATCGTCGCCTCACCCTTTCTCACCACCCCGTCACTATCTCCTCTTCTCTCGCTCTCTTGCACCCCTCTTGCTCTCTCGTGCCCTCTTCACCCA